GGACGTATTGGTCGCCGACATGACGAACGGCAGGGAGTCATCCGAATTCTAGTGGTCATCATCGACAAATTTGCTCATCATGTGGCCGAACGTTTGGTTATAACGCTCGACCTGACCGATGCACTGTGGCCGGAAAATGCTTGTGGTTGTCGTCCGGCGGATGTGCAGGATACGATAGAGTTCAGCGACCAACTCGTTCACTAAGGGCGTGCCCTGGCCACTCAAGACCCGGTAGGGCATGAAAAAGTGGAGGAAGATGTCGTAAAAGACCGAAAACTTGGTGACGCGTACTGCGGTCTGCTCCGGCAGGGACTTGGCGGCTACCCACTTTGTGAAGAGGTCCGTTGCGACTATGATGTACTTGTTCTCGTTGCCGGCTTTGGATTGCGGCAGTGGACACATGACGTTCACCGCGATAACTTTAAATGGGCTTGCTGGGCAGAAGCTCTGGACTGGCCCAACAAATTGCTGCGTGGTTCTGTTCCGGGTTTGACACAGGACACAGGACTCGGCATACCTACGGACAAAGTTTACCATGTCCGGCAAGTAGACGCGCATCTTCAAACGTGCGGTCGAAGCCAAGGTGACCGCCCATCGGGTCATCATGGTGGAACTGCAGTTTTGCCATCCGTCGGCTTCGGGGTTGGACTAGATACGTTTTCTTGTGACTTAGGCAGTCCTGAGTCGGGCCCGAATATCATTGCAGAAGGACTCCTTCTGTTGCTCGCCCTTGACATCCCAAGGGTCCAGGTGGTCAGCTGGGGTGGCGTCTACTGCCATGCACGGGCTCGGGTGGTCCACTGGCACCGGAAGTGCGGGGTATCTGGACAGACAGTCCCAGTAGGCATGGATTTTACCAGTCCTGTGGAAAAGGACGAGGATGTACTCTTGTAAATGCAGGGATCATCGGAACAGGCGACTGTTCGGACTCTGGATGTTGAACAGCCAGTAAAGACTGTGATGGTCAATCCTCAAAGCAACCTCCTTACCCAAAAGATAGTACCGACCACAAAATGGACAACATTTCCCGCTCCGTTGTGGAGTAATTTCTTTCCGCCGGAATTAGCCGGCGGCTTCCGTAAGCAATAACGCGCTCACGGGATTCCGAGTCACGCTGCGCCACGACGACCCCAATCGCGTACCTGCTAGCATCCGGATGGATCTCCGCCGGAAGTTCAGGATTGAAGTGCACCAACACTGGTGCCGATGTAATGGCACGCTGGAGTTCGGCAGAGGCATTCCGCTGCTCGGCCTGCCGACTGAAAGGGACGCCCTTCTTGAGATGGGTTGGAGGTGCGGCAATGTCCAAGAAGCCCGGGATAAACCGGCGATAGAAGGCGCACAACCCTAGGAACGCCTGAACCGCTTTTAGATTTTCGGGTACCTGGAACCAAGGATCGCCTCGACTTTGTCTTGGTTCGGCCGGATCCATTCCTGGGTCGCGGTGAATCCCTGTACCTTGACATGGAACTTCAAGGAGTCCCTTCGAGGGCTTGAAGACGAGGTTGGCTTCCCGGAACCGATCCTGGACCGCCTCGAGTTCATCTAGGTGCTCCTTCAGGGTCTCCATCCCGATGACCACGTCGTCGAGGTAGACGAAACTATGGATCCAGAGGAGGCCGGCCAGAGAGGAGGACATCGCTCGCCGGAAGCGCTTATGGGGCGGAGGCAGAACCACATGACTTCATATTAGTAGAAGCCCTGGCCGCCCTATAACGCCGTAATGGCCCTGCTTTCTTCGGCCAAGGGGACCTGCCAGAACCCACTCTGCAGGTCCATGGTCGTTATGTACCGCGCACCGGCCAGGACCTGCATGCAGTCAACTACCCGCGGAATTTGGTTCCTGTTCGGGCACGTATCAGGGTTGACCCCTCGGAGGTCCGAGCACAGCCGCCTGGACTTTTCTCCCTCCTTAGGTGCGAGGATCAGCGGGGCGCTCCAGGAATTCGGCTAGGCCGGATAAATCCTGTGATGTACTGTAACCTTGCGGTTGGCAGCGGTATGGTTGCCAACCTAGAAGTCAGCGGTATGGTTGCCAACCTAGATGTACGTACGCAGGTCACTGTTTGACCATCGGTTTTGGGTGCATCCAAAACGTTTTTCTGTGAAGGTAAGCAATTGAAGGTCACTTCGCAATCTGACTAAAGAATGCAGTTTATTTTGGAGGTGACTGATTTGGAAAGAATTGATCGCGTGCTGGACAGCATTAATCCAAAAGTGCGCATTCGATTGGACTCCAAAAGCCTGAACTATCCCATCTGGACGCCGCCCATGCAAAGATCTCAACTCACAGTCAACCGGTGGATGTCGGAAGTTGAACGTGTGCCAATTCGGACGAGGAATTTGCGATTGATAAACATTTTGAAGTTTTTGTACAGCATACGGAAACACCTCATGGCAGTTGCATCTGCGAAGTACCAGTTCTACTGAAGAAAAGACTTCAAAGGAACCAATTCGTTATCCTGATTACCAACTCGGACAAGATCTGCATGGCCAGAGCATCGGTGGTGGGGATGGCGTATGCTGACGGTGACAAGCTGCAGTGCCGTCGTTTAAACGAAGGGAAGAATCTGCAAACAAAAGAAGCAAAAGAATAAAAAGATCTCATTCAGAAAGCTAAACTGGCGGTAAAATCCCACCATACCAAGAAAGCGCATATATGTTTCTTTTCTTTTATAGGACCGAACTCTCTTACGGCCTGGACTTCCTCTGGATCCGTGGATATACCATTCTGGTCAACTGTGTGACCTAAAAAGGTAATCCACTTTACGAATACTTCAGTTTTCTCTGGGCTGATTGTTCAACCACATTCCCGTAATCGTAGGAAAAGATCTTCTAGATCGCGCATGTGGTCTGCTCAATTTTGCTACAGACGATAATATCGTCTATAAACACTAACACATTGCGCCATTTCATCCCTGCTAGTGATAAATCCATCGCGCGTTGAAACGCGGACGGCGCGTTCTTCATCCCAAACGTGAGCGCGCGGTATTGAAATCCAAACTCTTCTCAAACCATCGTCGTTTTAGACCAGTCATCTGGTTTAATTTTAATTTGCCAGAACCCGCTTTTCAAGTTAATTTTGCTAAATACCGTCGCCTTATCCAAGGCGTTAAGAACGTCTTCAACTCTGGGCAACGGATACGAGCTATCAAATAACCGCTCGTTAGATTTACGGAAATCAACAGTAAACCGGCGCGAGCCGTCTTTCTTCTTTTTGCGATACAGATGGGATTTCCCCATGCCGAATTTGTTAGTTCAATGATGCCGTCGCGTATCATTTCCGCCGCCTTAGCTTGGAGCCACTTCCTGTTCTCGAAAAATGCACGATAACGAGGCGTACGCACCGGAGCGCATGTACCAGCAGGCACAGAATGTTCATAAATTGTACAGCATCCGACTGGCCTCGCTTTTGTAGGTAAGACCGCCTTTGCTTTGAAAAAGTTTCTCTTATATCCTTGTCGGGACAGATTTTCCCCACTTTTATTTTAGAAAAGTTTCTTTCGTTTCTTCGTCGGTACCGGATTCACCAACCGGTTTACTGATCGGTCGTTCACTGCAATTTGCTGGCGAAGGCATTCACAGAGTGCTGACTGCACCGGAACACGATTTCGGTCCTTGCGGACATCACAGAATTCCGCATGATAGTTTTCCTTGTATGCCGGAGTATCCATGCCGTATACCTCATCTGCCAAAGCAATCTCACCGAGGTTTGTATCTGTATTTAACACTGGCGGTTTATGCGACAAGTTCATGACGCACACACGGCAATTACCGTGTTCCTTTACTGATACAACGCCCTCAAATAGCAACTCGTTACTAATATTTTCAAGGATTTTCCCTTCATAATAGAACGGTTGACTTTATAGATTATTAAGCTGAAATTCATGCAGCTTTTCATCTAGCAAGTTTGTCGTGGCTTTAATCACTCCACGTGAGCGCGGCTGAATGGTCATCGGCGAGGCTGGAAATAATTACATTTTGCAAAATTCCAGCGCAGGAAATTCCGGGATTGGCTGGGATACATCCGCTAAGTTGCATCCGATGCAACTCGCTCATCATTATCACTATATGCAAACTCACTTCCCTGCTCCGAGTGTACCACCCTCAACATTGCAGGATCATCCCTGATGTCCTGGAAAATTCTGCGCTATATTCTAAGTTGTGGCGGCTGCACAGGAACCTTTACTTCCGGCTGCTGTGCCGACGTAATCGTAGCGATTACTGACTGCGCTTCCTACTGCGCTTTTACACCGTTTTTATGCAGGCTTTTTGTAGCCAATTCTTCGTCGAACCTGGCTTACGTTTCTTGCGCGGCGTCGGGCTTCACAATCTTCCCAGTCTTCATTTACCACTAGCGCCACCGGCGAGGTACTATTATTCCTTCCCTCTTCAATTTTTTGCATAATTTCTGTCTGCTGGGTCATGTTTACCTCGCGTAATGCTTCATTATTGGCCGCTACATGTGCTTGTTTCCTAGCACGGAGCTCCTGAATGTGCTCCAAAATTTCAAAAACATCAAAGTCTGCATACGTCTGTATTAATTCGGCCGTGTCTGGAGAGCGTAATCGCGCTACGTGTACCAACAATTGGGTACACGTTACATTTTGGTTTTCCGCCTGTCTGCCATCGTAGGATACCGGACACGGACCGATAAATTGCTGGCATGCCCACTGCTGGGACAAATGTGCCATTTTCGAATTCTCCTGCCGGCGCCGGATTATCTAAAGAGAATCTCTAGATAATCGGCTTTTTTGCATCGGCAATGCCTTCCTTGTGCTCAGCGATCATGAACTGACGAGGTAAATTTACCGTATTGCGACATTTATCGTAATTTTTCTCGAACTTATCAACTTGGATAATAATATCCGGTTAGTAAAATACGTTCATAAGGTACGGGTATAATTTTACATTTGGCCCGCAAACCTGTTGATGAATCAGTATTTAGTGGAAGCAAGCAATGACCTTGTTTCGCCATTGGTGTGGAACATAAATTTTTGGACACTGACCGCTACGATCTAGTACGCGGCACATCAAGCCTTCAAATGTAAACAACCGATTTACCTCGAAGCGGAGGAAAGTCGTATCGGCTAAATCTGGTCTCTTTTGTATCTTATGCCTCATTTTACTGTCAGCACACCGCTGCTGTTCTGCTGCCCAGAATTCTGGTGAAGGGCAATCGCGTTTTGACGGAAAACGATCTTTATCATGCGGTTTCTCTGGCGGCATCATCCACCGACGCGAGTCTGGACCCCGCGACATACGAGCCGGGAATGGGCTTTCAAGGACTTCATCTACGCTTCTCCGGTCAGTGTTTACAGGGACAATGTTAAGCGTTTTATCGCCCATGCTCATACATTGAACAGTCTTATTATTAGCGTGATTCACTCCTGCAAACATGTAGGATGTCTCCGGGTGCTGCTGTATCACTTCAGCCAGTTTTGGATTAGTAGGTTAGTTTTTTCACCTCACCCCCACGAACTTGACTGCTTCCTATGTTTGATGTGCCTGTTACAGTTTGCACCGGCACATTACCTTGTGAGGTGGTTAGCGCTTCACCACCACCCCCCCGAACTAAACTGCTGCCCGCCTGTGTTGATGCTGGCACCGGATGTACTTCCGCTTGTAGTACCACCGTTGTACCCAACGAATTGATCTGATGGGCATGAATTTGACTAGCTACCAATTCTAGGACTACTGCCTGTGCCGGATACAATCGCGGCGGGCTATCTGGTTCTCGTAAATCTCGCGACAATTCCTCGGCACGCTGAAGGTGAAGTATACACACTTCCGGCTTTGCATTAGCCAACATTGCATGTGCCGATTCATATGGTAAAAATTTTGTTTCTTTAGCCACGCCGATCCTTTCGGTCAACATTAGCGCTACGAGGAAGCACAGAATCAAAGTCATGATCCCGTATGATATCAGGCATCCGGTTAGTCAGACGCTTTAAAATCTTGAAGCACCCGGCTTCCTTCTGGACAGTCAATGCAGCAATGCAGCAGGAAACGGAAGTCGTGCGCCTAATCGCTGATCGTCTGGAATTGATGCCCAAACACCAAGCGTTTATCCTACTGAAGTGCAGCCTCAGCGCCCCAAAGGTCGTTCACCTTTTGCGTTGTTGCCCATCTTTCAAGGCTCGAAACAGCCTCTGCGAGTTCGACGAAGTATTAAGAGTGTCGTTGAAATCCTTCTGCAATGTTCGCTTAGACACAATTGCGTGGCATCAAGCTTCACTGCCAGTGCGCTGTGGTGATCTCGAAATCCGACGGGTACAAGAATTATCCCTGCCGGCTTATCTAGCCTCGATTCACGCTACCCAAAGTCTGGTTTCCCGACTACTGCCGTACCAAGCAGGTATTAATGTGACAGATCACGTTGCCCTTTGGAGGTTCCTCTCCGACGACGCATCGCCTCCTTTGCCAGAAAGCCGAAATTTGCAACGCGCATGGAACACACCATACTGTCTAGCCGAGCAGGCAATTTGGCTGCACGAGGCTTCAGATTCCACCACCAAAGGCCGGCTACTGGCTACTGCAACTCCAGAGTCAGGCTATTGGACGCACGCACTTCCCTCATCCGTAATCGGCAACCTCATGGATGACGAGTCGTATCGGATCGCCGTCGCAAATAGACTTGGCGTACCGGCGTCATCCGATCACCAGTGCAGGTGCGGAAGCGATGTCGCCACGGATGGTCACCTTGGTTTGAGTTGCAGATTTTCAGCGGGTAGACGGCCAAGACACGACTGCATCGACGACATCCTTCGCCGGGCACTGGTTTCGGTAGATGTCCCTGCTCGAACGGAACCAAGAGGCATGCACCCTGAAAACGGAACACGCCCCTCAGTGCGTGTCCCATGGAAAAGGGGACTCTGCCTGACATGGAATGTAACCGTTGTTGATACAGTCGCCTGTTCTTATTTGGATCACTCAAGTGTAAAGACCGGAGCGGCAGCGGATCAGGCTAAAGCCGAGAAAGCAGTAAAATACAGCTTCCTGTCGGCACGTTATGAATTAAGCCTGTCGGCTTCGAGACATTCGGTAGTTTTGGTACATCTGCTAAGTGATTTGTTAATGAGATTTGGAAGAAAATTTCGCTACAAACCGGCGATATCCGTAGCCTCGAGTATTTAAAACAGAATATTTCTTTGGTTGTTCAACGGGGTAACGCTGCTTCTGTAACTAGTACAGTACTGTTGAGAACTTTGTTTCGTTTAATCGTAAATAGACCTTGATATTGTTATCGAGCCATGGAAATAAAGTACATTCAGCAGAGCAGCTCGCCAGCGCGTTGTCAGTCAGTCGATAAAGTGTGCAGGTGTTTGGCTTTTCCGCATAGTTCGCAGCGTACACACTGCTCGCTCAGCAGGACTGATCCCGTTTCAGTCTCTGCCTGTGGATCTCTTCCTGGTCCAGCATTAGACGCCGTTTGCGGAGCTGACGGTATATAGCAGCCGTACGAAGCTGGTGTATATAGTGTGTTCTAAATCAAATGTGGTTCTGATGGCTAACCGGTCGAGACTGCGGTTGTCCGTGTGCTTTTGAATTGTATTTGTACTTTGGTATTTTCTTGAATGTTCGTTTTGTTTGGTTTTGCTAACCCGATGCGCCTCGGGCGTACACGAGTCTCACGGTTGCAATTTCTGTTTGCAGACTTTTAGCTTCTCATTCTTACAGAGTCGGGGTTTTATATAATTGTATCGTCGTAAATGTAATGCAGTAGTGAGCCTGCGCAGTCCGCCGTAAACCGTAAAACGGGCACCGCTTTTAATCAAGAGTACAGAGTTAGACAGAGCGTGTGTCTAACAAATTTCTGTCTGCTCCCTTGATTAAATGCGTTTAACGGCGCCCGGTCCCCTGTCAAGGCGGACTGCGCAGGCTCACTAGAGTCAGATTTCGCTTCGGGTAGATCATAGCTTTTGCAAATTATTTAGTTATGCGATATTGCGATTATCAGCTCATACTCGGTCCCTGAGTAAGGTCGGTAGGACAGATTAGTTACAATAATTGTTACTGACACATGAGTCTCAGGCACCGATGAACAGTATAACTTCGCCTCTGAAAAGTTGTAGCCTGAGCCTTTTGCGATACTACGACGGCGCGTTACTATGGGTAGGCTGCGTTATACATATACCGCTCGCTTGCATTGTTCATCGGTCCCTGAGACAGGCTTAGAGGCCACTAACGTCTGGCTGTATTATGCGCTATAAAACTGCCTGATTTACTGTTACAGAAGTGCTGTAGATGTACACTGCAGTATCGCAGCATTTGAGACGGCGCGCAGCTTTTTTCTAGCGAAAGAAATTGTATAACTTCGAGCCTTTCTGGCCCAGACTTTGAATGAACTTGACGATGTCTAGTGACATTGATGATTCACTTTCTGGGCTAGTTCCCCAGCCGTGACCGTACTGATATGGCGTTGTTGTGGTAGGATACTGGCCCCAACCTTGAATAACGGGCCACCAAGTGGTCGTAATTGAATACTGGCAGTTCCAAGCACAGTTATTAACTACGTAATCTGGGCAACCGTCATAAGCTCGCTTTTTGCGACCAGACGGAGCTGTGGTTGTAGTTGTGGTCGTAGTAAACGTGGCAGGGCCGGTGGTGGTGGTAGTAGTGGTAGTGTCGGTGGTGGTGGTAGTTGTAGGGCCAGTGGTTGTAGTAGTGGTAGGGCCGGTAGTGGTGGTAGTAGTAGGGCCGGTAGTGGTGGTAGTAGTAGGGCCGGTAGTGGTGGCAGTGCTCGGGCCGGTGGTTGTAGTGGTAGGGCCTGTGGTGGTGGTAAAGGTGCAGCCCTCAGGGCCGTTAACGCAGTTCATGAAGCAAGTATAGTAATTAGATCCGGAGTTCTGCCGATTGTCTAAATCGGATATTAGTGCTCCCGTGTCCTGTCGCTCTAAGCCGTTGTTTCTAGTCAGCTTAATGCGCGCAATAGGCGATGGCTCTGCAATGTAAGTGCGCATATAAAGCAACAGCGTTAGCCATCGATATATCATTTTTAGCAAGAGGTTATAGAAAGTGACAGTTTATGAACACTTTGTAGGGCGATGTCTCTTGGAATAATTCCAGTGAATGTAAATCGCTTTGCGTTTACCATTAGCTGAGTAGCATGCTACAATGTATTTGAAGTAACTTCAGAGCCTAGGGTAAAGGTAAGTTATGGCAAAACTGGGGTTTTATACCATCGAGGCAATAACCAAACCAGATTCCAGCGGTACGTGCAGGCAGTGTTGCTGCTCATCACCTCCCGGCGCAACGTATCTAGTCCATTAACCCATGCGTTAAGGGAAGGCAATTAAAGCAAAAATACTTGATGACCTTGACTGCCCCAAGCAGACTGTTCCAATCTACCGTCCAGAGAGTCTTGAAAGTTTATCGGCAGTTACAAATCTTCTGATTAGTACTACCATAAAATTTCATGCAAGAAATTACGTGTGCGCCTTACAATGTTAATAGAAACATAATGACCGACTTAATTAAAACATGCTTACATCCTTGTGGCTTCATGCAGTTTGGTGCTTGTTACAGCCGACGTGGTATTAGACGACTATGCAACGCGGCCGTTAGGATGGGCAAAAAACATGGCCTGGTGCCACCTTGATTGAACAGAGCCGATGGAAATAGTTCGCTGATAGGGCAAAATTGCATCTAGGAAGCGGAGAACCGAAGATGTGGTATCTATAAACCATCTACACTCCTGGGAGACGTATAAAAAGCCCTCATCGCCACTGTCTAGTAGCCGATTCCGATTTTAAAGTCAAAACCACTGCAAGCCCGCCCATCGAAATTTCGCTCTGACCACGTCTAATGGCTATACACAATTCTCTGACACGTTGTGCCGCGGAATTTTCGTCCCTTGAGCTGGGTTAGAGCAGCCTTCTCTTTCGCGTTTTGAACATAGAGCATTCGTCTTTGACTTTCAAAAGGTGTGCCGCGTTGTTTTGGTTGTGGTATTCCCAGAACCCACTACCCATGCGATTTTTGGCTCATTTGTTAGTGGAAATACTTCGGTGCACCCGAATCTGTAAGTCCACGTCATCTAAAGGCTGCAATAATTCCCAACGGCAGAATACTGACCATGAAACGGACTTCCGACTCTAATGGTTATTCTGCGTACCAAGTATTCTTGCGTCTAACGTAGCAGCGAAACGTAAAGAACAGGGGGCTGCGTGACGCACACTTCAGCCTTGCGTATACGTACACTTTCTACCTGCACCGCATAAGCAGCTATGTGTACACAGTCACCCCGTGGATACGTATATCGTTTAGGGTTTAGGGTTTAGGGTTTATTGCTTAATGTCTACAGATACAAGGAATCACTCCTTATCAAGACCTATAGACAAACATATTATAAAACCAAAACAAGAATTTAAAACAAAGCAACAACAGTGCATGTACAGTACAGCTACAACAACAACTGGAAAATTTTAAAGGCCAAAATCAATCGAGAAATGATCGATGATCCGTTGTTTCAGAAACAGATTTTCTAAAACTTTCTGATGGGAAAGTTGTGGAATCTTAAGCAACTAAGCAAGTTCACTTCGAAAGCGCTAGATTTTTGTATTCTGTACTAAACGTTAACCAGCAGACCCGGGCAAGTTGCGGGGGAAAATGGAATAGTTCAAGGCAAAAAACAATTGTTTCAACTACTTCCATAGATCTATGTAATCTATGACCATAGATCTTCACGATGGCATTACAACATTAGCTGTAGTTGAACAGCACTTTTAACGCGTTCTGTATGATACAGAGCCG